GGGAGGCACACTTTACACTTTTCCTCACGTTGTTTTGTGACGTGTTTGGCTTGAATTAGATGCCCTCTTCGATGATTTTTCCTTTATAAATGACTACATCTTTAATGTTGTTCAGTAGTATTGTTTTTTCATGTGGACAACATTAAACATTTCTCATCATTCTTCATTTCACTTAGTGAGTATTCTATGACGCAACATCTGTAATCCTAGCTTTAATCCTGGTAAAAGGACTATGACCGTGGCTCTCATGTTTCATCTCTCTCATATGGTATTTAAGGATTGCATAACAAGGATGACTGATTTAAACTGGACAACAGATGGTGTCCTCTTCATCTCAAGTGTAGCCTCTTTTTAACGCATTCATTTATTGGATCAGGTTTTAAAGGACCTGTTTCTGGATTTTCCGTATTTATTAACATTACATCTGAGTCACAGCGCTAAGCATTGAATGTTATGAAAAGAAAAAAATACTTTGCAATCTTTTTAAAACCTTGAAGGTTAACATTGTAACATTATCTGCTGCTTTCAAGGTTTTTCTTGATTCCTTCAAGGCTTTTCAAACCATTTTTGATAGATTTATAACCTGTTTCTCATATGACTGGATTGCACTTTACCTAATACAGGTAGTCCTGTCATATCCGTCCTGTGTTTGCAAAACAAAAGGAAAATATAATTTAAAAAAAGGATTTTTTTTTAATTGGTGGAGCAGGATGAATATTTGTTTATTGAAATGGTTATAAAACGTTATAGTCTTCATTCAAGAAACACTTTCAGTAGAGTAGTGTTACGCTGGTAAATGTCTAATGTAATGGTAATGCATAAGAGGTTCAAACTGTAGAAACATGATTACATCTTCAGAGAGAAGCAAAAGACCTCTGAGATTTCTTACGAAAGGAATTATGAAACCCCCTTTTTATGTCTGTTAGTGGAAAAAAGGGAGAGGGCAAGTAGAGTTTGTGCTTTTGTTATTTTTGAAACAGGCAGAGTCACAGTCCACAGATGTTTGTATGACGGGGTTACTGAGGCCCACTGTGCATAATTCATCTCTTGTATGATTCATAATGATCCCCAATAGCTTACAACTGTTAAGTATTTATAATGTAAAGCTGTGAAATGTTCAACAAAGGTAACATGTCACCGAGGCATGAAGTGGTGAAGTCATCATCATGAGTTTAGTGGATTTATTGCTGAAAAGTTAAAGTGATTTAAATTCAGCAGCAATATCCCTACTAAGAAGCTTCTCATCTTTAAACCCATGTCATCCTGAGTTAAGAGGGGATATTCTTTAGATCAAAGTCTGCAGTAGACACACACACACACACACACACACACACACACACACACACACACACACACACACACACACACACTTTGGTTGCAGAATCAGCAGGACTGTACAGTATGTAACCTATCACTATCTCTTGTGTAACTCTGGTTATCTTTCATATGTGTATGTGATGATTTATGACCGGTAGCTGATTGCAGGTTTTAAGCTAATGGTTCAATTTATTAAGCCATGAAAACAATATTTTCTATATTGGACTTGCCTAGGGTCTAATGGTCACTCTCTTAATGATTTTATAACATTTGTACGGACCATTGATTAAACCAAATGTTTTATGTCATGTGGAAGAAACACTTTAGTGAAATGAAAATATATCTCTGTGTTGCAGTTTGGAATTGGAATTTTTGTATTTACACTTTCTCCTTCCTTTGTAAAACTTGGCATCCACATTACCCAAAATGCAACGTTGGTCCCACTTGGTGTTTCAGGGAAGGCTGCTCGGTGTTGATGGTTGCTCTTGTCAAAGCTCCAAGACTCCTTTGACAAACACAGTAATGTTACCTTGCAGAACATCAGAAGTGCTGGTCTACCTCTGCCCTCCATCTGTAACTATGTTTTGGTTTATTTGTAATTTTTGTGTTTTGAAGGGTTGCTTTATATTCAACAGCGTAACACAATAACAGACTAAATGATTAAGGCACTTGTGTTCTGCGAGGTAAATCTGGTGACTTTGAAGAGTCGAAGCATAGAAAAAAGCTTCTGTCGGGAAGGGCAATCTGACAGCAAGGACATGCGGTAAAAATATCTAAATAAAGTGAAAAACTCCAACTCATTTAATTTAAATGTATAGGTGGGCCTTTTTTTTAAGAGGTAAAATGTGTTTTGCTGCTGCGCCTGTCCATTTCTTAGCTCCTGTGGTCCGACTCCTGTCTGTTTCCTATAATTGGGAGTGTGCCACTTGACATGTACCGTAGGTCATACAGTACATTCATTATGGATCATATACAACCCCGCTTCAAAACAACCAACTAACCCTTTAACACATAAGTAGCATTTTCATAGTGTTGCTGGCTGGGGTAAGTGAGTAAATGTACTCTGTTGCATTCCACCACAGGAGCTAGTTTATTGTTAGCCTCAAAGGAGAGGCAGAGAGAGAGGTAATGTGTAAGTGGCATGAGTGTCACTCGGTGGTCTGATTGATCGCCTCACTGATGAAAATATTTTCCCCACATGGGCTCGATTAAGTCCAGTTTTTTTCTGCTGCTCTGTGGTGACTGATGAATACACAGCACACACAACTGCTCCTCCACAGCAGAGGAAACGGTCACATCCAGGAAGGACGTGGAGGGGCATGAGGGCAAGCCGATGATTGAGTGCGCCTCTGATACCTACCAGTCATCATTACGGGAATTACACTTCACCCACAGGCTGCCTCTCCTCCGCCTGAATCCTCAGGCTGCCCTATGCTCTCTCAAATGGGCCTAACATACTTCACATGCCGGTCCACTGGAAACCTGTATTCATTTAATCGCTGCTCCTAGTTTCCGTTTGTGTAAGAAAGGACACTGCAGGGAAACTGCTCTGACCTGTTCAGCTGGTGTTGTGTTTTTGTGTGTGTTGTTTCACAAGTGCACAGGTATGCTGGCGTACCTGCATGGTGTAGCTACACGAGCAGGTGCAGCTAGGCAGGTGGACTTTGTTCTCTGCCATGTTGAGCTGAGGCAGTTGTTGACCTTAGTTACATCCTTCCCCTTAGTGCTTTATATATGCAGTTAAAATGAACAAAATGCAACCTGGACAAAACAATAACTGATGGCACTGGAAGTGATTAAATAGACCTTTTGTCAGGGTCTGAAAATCCCTTTAAAATGAATTAAAGCAGACTCGGTAGCAGATCTACACTTTACAGAGGCTGAAACCAACTTGACTGCTTTATTATTGATCAAAAATAGCTGCTCATTCGATTAAATTACTTATTATGGGATGTCTGATGATGTACAGCTACAGTGCAGTCCATATGTATTTTGACAGATTCACATTTTAGTTTATTGGCTCTGTATTTCAGCACATTTGTATCCAAATATAACATTGCTCGGTCTGATCAAACAAATCAAAACTAAACAATCACTAGAAACCAAATGAAACCATATGTATGCATTAGTGCTGTGTTCTCCCCCTGAGAGTTATTGATATCTCATACTCATTTATGTAACTGTGTCTGCAGTGTTTTGGCTGATATGTGATACGGATGCTGTCAGTATTGGATATTATGTTCCACACAAATGAACCTTGTGCACCCAAAAACCCTTTTAAAAACCTGACTACTTATACCTGAGGCTGCTTCTAAGCCATCTTTCTTTATCTATTAGTCTGCTGATTAGTTTTAAACAATTGATCATTTTGTTTGTAAAATTTCAGTTAAAAAGTTCTTAACGGCCAAGGTAAAGTCTCTTTAGGGCAGTACCCAATTATGGTCAGTTTATTACCATTTAAGAATAATTAAAGCATAATATTATATGATTTCTGCTTGAAAAATAACTTGAACAATCAATCTATTTTCCAAAACACTTCAGATTTATGTTTTGTCCTCAGCTTTAGAACAATCGTTTTGCTGAACTCGTACTGAATATGTTTAATTCAAGAAAAAGGTGATAACATGTAAATGTAATGTAGCCTGATGACTCTTCAGAAGAGAGTTTTACAAATATTACAGAGTTGATATGGTCCTCCTTTGCANGAGTGATCCTTGGTGTGTGTGTGTGTGTGTGTGTGTGTGTGTGTGTGTGTACACACACACACACACACACACACACACACACACACACACACACACACACACACACACACACACACACACACACACACACACACACACCAAGGATCACTCTCATTACATGCACATATGCTTCTCTGGCCTCGTAGCTGAGCGTCCTGCAGTGGACAGACAGATGACACACTCTCCTTGTGTTCCAGTTTCTTTTTCCTTCATCCAAGCTCCATAGGTGGCAACGCACATTCACATATGCCTGCCCTGCATACACACACTACATTTACACCAACATACAAATGGGAACCAAACCAGTACCAAAGCACCTTATACAGCATTCAGGTATAATATAAATATGTAAAATCCCATTTCAAAATCAGATCAGTGGGTATTAAAAGGGCAGAAACAAACAGTGTGAGGACACACAGCCCTAAAATTGATTCCAGGGGAAAACAGGCTGGGCCCATCTCTTCCCTGAGTAATTTGTTTAGTTGTTCCTAATGGCTTTTTCCATTTGTGTATTCGGGCTGCTCGTTTCCGCAATTTAGCACAAATTAAAGCAGAGAGAAGTCTCCCTGCACGGGGTGCTGCTGATGCCTGGTGATAAAAGTGAGACGTCTGTGTGGATGGTGTTGGATGTGAGCCAGCCAACGCCAAGACACTGCCCTCGCTGTTTACCCATCATGCCCCGCTGCAGCTCACAGATGCACCTCAGGCATGTGAGGAACGAACTCTCCAAAACAAGGAAACGATGCCACAAAGACAGAGGATGTGATGATTAAAGAAGGCTGAACCACAGCTCAATGCACCAACAAGCAAACATTTAAAATCTGATTATAAGGATGCCTTGTTGGACATATTTTGTTTTTAATCAATGCCAAGCCTTTTACATATTGAGTTTTTGATAAATGATGGCCACTGAATTATGTTTTGGAATGGACGATATTATAAATCATATTAGCTGGAGCTGTTATGAGTATATCTATTGATTGGCTACTATTTTTGAAAATGTATTTATTTCACTCATATTCAGCGCAAGATGAGGGAAACAATCTGCTGAGTTGTTCGCTGGCAAAACAACCATCTAATAATGCTAAGAGTCTATAGTCAAACTGCGGCATGCTAACCCCATAATTACAACTAAACACAAAGTATAGCAAAGCTGATTGAAATGTCATTAGATTCGCAGGTAATTAGCAATAAACCAGAGTAGTTAACAATAACTAAATAAATACATTTTGACCCGATAGTGGCCCTATATGAAAATCACCAAAAATGATTACAATTTAATCTGAAGGGGGAATGTATGTACTAAAATGCAATGGCGATCCATCTAATGGTTATATTATATATATATTAGTTTATGAAAATGCCAAACTTCTATGACTTCTTCTTTTCAAATGTTATGAAGTGCTGAATGTCTTACATGATGTTAAACTGAACGCTTCTGGGTTTGAAATTTTTGCTCGGGTAAAAAAAGCAATTTGTAAACACAAACCAGGAAATATAGAATGGGTCTTTGTTCACCATTTCTTTAAATGACTACAACATCATTCAAAATCTAGTGAATATAAAAAATGTCTGCAGATAAATCATCAGTGGGTATTCCACTCTCAATATTCATTCTAAGAAAGAGAGCAATTAGAGGTTTTAATCCTTCTATTAAGCACAGATGCAAGTTTGCAGTTTGTGAGCTCTTTTTGCAGAAGGCTATTCCTCCGTCAGAGGGTTGAATCAGATAAGCATCAAAATGCTGTGTAATGGCCAGTTGGAAATTACCCCCATGTCGTCTGGGTGCAATCTCTGCGTTAATATCCATGCGCCTACGAGAGATAATTATGTTCAACTGTAATATGAACATAGCATGCTGACAACCCTCCAGCCATTAGTCACCACAATGGCTCCTCTGGGCTCCGGACCTTCGGTGTGAGGGTTAGCAGCTGCTTCTGTCCGGACTCAGAAGAAAAGCAGGAGGCCATTAAAGTGCAGAGCAGATAAAGATGGGAAGGGCCTGGCACTATGTGAGCTACCTCTCTTCTCTGCTATACTTGAAATCCATTTGGCCTGCATGTAAACACCGAGAAGACAACGATTGTGAGCTAAATAATTCCGTCTATTTGTTGAAAACTGGTAAGATAAGAGAGAAGAAAGAGGAAACAAGTGGTACATACACAGAAAGTGCAATCTAAAAGAGAAGCAGCCCTGCTTTATGATCATCATTTAAATTCATGTTCGTCCCGTTAAAAACAAACCTCTGCGCAGCCTGACAGGATTTGGGCTCTCATGCTGCGTACGAGCCTGTATTCGCAGAACTAATGAGTCCACTGGGTTTTTGCGAGTAGTGGTTTGAGACAGAACTGCTGAGACAACAAAAAGGCAGCTTTCCTTTCTTAAAGCAGAGCAGAAGCTGGGCAGCTACTGGCTATTAAATATTTAACACCTCAGTATGTGGTCAATCATAAACCTCTTTCCTGTCCCGGACTGAGAAACCAAACATGGATCCACAGAGTCACTGTGATCTTTCAGCACAAGAAAACAACAATCCAAGATGCCCATCAGCTCACATTTTCATATAGCTTACTAATGTCCAATTCTCATTTGAAACTATTGACTATCAAATATGTATGACAGTAATTGTTGAGATGAGACTTCAAGTTTGAGTTGAAACAAAAACATCTAATATCTTGTGGTTTAAGCTAAAAGAAATTGAGGATTTTACCTTTTCCTTCGTCGTAATGATAGTAACCTAAAGAAATGTGCTAGCTGGTTGGATAAAACAGACCATTTCCATTAATCCAATTAAGTTTAACATTATGTTATTTCACTACTTTCTGATATTTCATTGGCAAAACTGCATAAATGGAGAAAAATATTTGAATAAAATCTGACCAAATCCCCTGTTGACTTCTTCAGATGCCTTATTCTGTTTAAAACAAAAATGTGAAGAGCTGGGCACTCACAAAAACTGACTGGAATTGATGAATCTATAATCCATAAAGCTTCCATGTTACCTTCTGTCTATCATATTGTCGAACATTGGATATTTAACAACCACTCCTTCTTCATCATATTCACAATGAATTAGATATGTGTTTGGTTTTTATATGCTGTGTGCTTAAAGATGTGTTTCTGTGAATTTCCCTGTGGAGATCAATAAAGGTCCATCTTAAAATTGTTAGTGAGAGACTATGATGTTGCATGTACAATTGTAATTGTAATGTCTGTTGGTTGTTCTATGTGTAGCTGCCTAGGGACTGCAGATGAAAATAAGCTAATAGCTAAATCTAACATAAATCATGTGTTTGTTATGCATGGTCCTTGTTAAAAAGGGACTAATAATTAATTTTCTCACTGATTGTTGAAGCTCTCAAGTTGGATAATGTTGGAAATGGCAATACTGTCAGCTGGGTTAATACAGAAATGTTGGGAATGTGTGTATTTGTGAAGAACCACAAGAGCCTTAAAATGACTTGTGAACCCTCTCAGAAGCAAATCATCAACGAGTGATTTCATTATGGAGTCAGAGGCAGGAAATGAACTCACTCAAAGGCGAAGAAGAGGGAGCAGGTCCCGACAATGAGGAAGAGGGTCAGGTAGAAGACTCCCTTCTGCCGGGCCATCATCACCCTGCCGTCGCAGCAGAAAGTGTTTTTCCCCGGCAGCTTCTCCCATTTTCGCACCTTACGTGTGATCATCACCGCCGACATGGTGCCCTCTCTTCAGATCTCAGTCCTTCTTTAGGTTGATGGCAGCTGTTATACTGTAAAACGATTCAGATAATAACCTGATAGATAGCTCTTACAAATATTGCCCAGTCAATGTGACACAGTCCACTGAGGAAGAAATACCCGAAACGACTCAATGTGTAATATTAAAGATGTCAGCACAAGGTGATGATTGTAAAGCATCTTCTTTTCGTAGTTCGCAGTCACATCATCGTTGTGTTTTCATGTCCATTTGTATTTCCAGTCTTTACTGCAGCATGTCATTCCCACACTGAGGCTCCCACGCTGCACCGACAATCTCGATCCTCTCACAGGACAATATTAATTAAAAAATAATATATTAATTAGAAATAAAATCCAAATGTTCGCGGCAGATGTTTCCCACAAGGAGCNCCTTATAGTATGATAATAGGCTAAGCCAGACAGAATGAACACTTGTCCCACCAACCTATCTATCTATTCCTTCAGGTAATATATTACAAAATAATAAGCATATGTATTATTGATACATATTTATTAATAGATTTTTTCCATTTGCAAAGAGAGGTCCTCGATTCAGTGTGCAGGATGTGATTGCTGCCATCCAAAATGGAGAAAGTGAGTTTGAGACGGAATCAGAGGACAGTGACACTGATATGAGTGAAGAAGAGGCAGATGAAGATGCCTGTGGCCACATGGACAAGGAAAACCAACAACCCAATGACCCCCCAGTCAGTGATTATGTGGACATCGAGCCCCAACAACATAAACCCACCAAGCCCAGAGACAGGTATCTGGCTGAAAAAATATTTCATCAGTCCCAATACTGACCTTTCTGGTCCAGATACCACAGAGGATGTAATTTCCCTCCACACACCACTGGAGTACTTCCAGAAGTTTCCAGGTGATGTTGTGATGAAGCTTACCTCCACGCTTCCAGAAGGTCAGAACTAAAAGATATACGCAGACAACTACTTCACCTGTGTCCCATTGGTAGTGAAGGTCCTTGATCGTGGAATTCATTATGTGGGAACAGCCAGGCAGATGCGCTTACCCAACTGCAACCTTGAAGAGGAGAAGAGCTTGAAGAAAAAAGGGAGAGGAAGCTTTGACATCCGAGTGGAGGCCAACCACAGCCTCTGTGCTGTCAAATGGTATGAGAGCAGAGCGCTCACACTTGTGTCATCCTTTGCTGGACCAGACCCTGTGCAGAGAATTCAACGCTGGGACAAAGCCAACAAAACCTACGTAGAACCTACGTGTACACCTTCTGGCACACCATCATCCTTGCTGTGGTCAACGCTCCTCTACAAGCGGGANTGTGCTGTCAAATGGTATGAGAGCAGAGCGGTCACACTTGTGTCATCCTTTGCTGGACCAGACCCTGTGCAGAGAATTCAACGCTGGGACAAAGCCAACAAAACCTACGTAGAAGTTGTGAGGCCTTACATTGTGGGTATACTTGCAACAAGTACATCGGAGGTGTGGATTTGTTGGACTCGTTATGGCAAAATACAAGTTCCCCATGAAGTCCCGACGCCGGTACGTGTACATCTTCTGGCACACCATCATCCTTGCTGTGATCAACGCTCCTCTACAAGCGGGAGTGCAAAGCTCTAAAGATACCAAAGCAGGAGATCCTGACCAGGAGACAGTTTCAGGCAGATCTAGCATCCTCTCTCATCCTGGTAAGAATGCATTTCTGCTATTTGCCGTTTGTAATATTTATATTTCACTGTAATATGTTTGACTTATATCCTAATGTATTTTTGACATGTATCTTGATTGATTCTGTTCTAATCAGGTGAACACAACTCCTCTGAAAACAACCAAGAGAGGACGACCATCTTCAGGCGGGAGCGCAGCAGCGACATTGACATCAAGGAGCCCGTTGAATGCTCAGAAGAGACCATCCTCATGTGAAGGGGTCCACCAAACGGGGCCCCATCCAAGAGATCACAACCTCCATTGGATGTACGCAAGGACCTAATGTCACATTTTCCAGTGAAGACAAAGAGAGGACGCTGGAGACACTGCAGTAAAGGGCACACAAAACACAATGCCGACGATAGGAACTGTTTTTGGGACTACAATTGTATTCATATTTAATAAATGACTATTCATAAAAGAAATATGACTGATGTGTGATTATTATTCATGCTATACCGATAAAGGGCTAAGTAAGCAATCAATCCTGCAAATCAACCCTTAGTTGTTCAATATGTTTATTCAGACAATGTGAGTAGAAATACAGAAATTCTGCTCCCACCTAATCCCAACATTGCAATATTACATTTCCCTAAAAACGTACCTGCTTTCTCAAAGCAGCAAACAGAAATCTTTCTCCCCATTTACATAACAAAATTGTAATTGTTGTTTTAAAAAAAGAATGTTTTGTTGCAAGACATTTTTTTTTAAGTAATGTATTTCATTCTTAATTGTATCACTTTATTTTTTTGTATTAAAACTTTTGTTTTCATATTAAATATCTTTATATATTATTTTTCACGTTAGTTTTTAGGATTGTACTCTGTACTCGTGTTGACCACCCTTGACCGCCCACAGACATGCCATCTTGCCTCCCACCACACTTCACTTCGCCATGCTGGGAGGCGAAACCACCAACTTGTTGTTAGGCATCCATTCACCCCTTCAGCAAAAGACGCCAGTACATATTCCAGTCAAATGTTACAGAATTGGCTTCAACGTTTTTGAAGGTTACAAGGCGACACAAAGATATTGTTAAAGAACATTTGTTTGAACTCAATGCCAGAAGTTAACATACATTTTTCACATTTGTTTCAGAAAAACTCAAGGCTACCAGGACGTTTAGAAAAAACTGGACTTAAGCCTCTGTTTTTTTCTAACTTTAACAAACTTCAGGGTTTTTTTCCCCTGTTTAAAAAAACCTCCATTCTAGCAACAAAACGGTTATCCCGATTGGGACATTCTGGCTATGACTTCATCATTTCTGAACAATATCCCCTAATTTGGCTGTGGCTGAGAGGAAGAGCTGTTGTCTTTGAGTGAGAAGGTGGTGGGTTCAATCCCGGCCAAGCAGTTATCATGTTGATTTACCCAAGTGTGTATTGTGCTGCTTGTTATAGTTTTTATCAGTTGCTAACACACTAAAATGACACATAAAGCACAAAATGTGTTTTAGCAATTGAAAAAAACTGTAACTCTTCAACTGATTTGCGTTCATCCTCCCTCTACCTCTTCCTCTTGCTGCTATTCATATATTTATAGTTTGTTGTAAAAAGTTCTTAGGCATAGCCTTTTTCTAGTGCTTTCATCCTGCTGAGTCAACAATAAAGCAGTTTGGTGTTTATGGTCATTTGGCATGTGTATTTGTTAATTGGTTCATGTGTGTAGCATTTTTAATGGCAGTGTTTTGAAAATGGCAAACAAGTGAATATGTCAGACTTCTCTATCTTACTAAACTGTGTGCAGTGTTTTGCAAAAAGTGCCAAGTTGAATTGCAAATCTTCTTGTTTCTACACAGTACTTTGTTAGGGGAGAGCTGAACCACCAAGACCTATCAGATGCTTCTTTGACCATCCTGCCAACTAAAATGTACTTATGACTGCAGGCAACTAAAAGTCAGATCTTCAATCTGCAGCTCTTTTTCTATTACATAAGGAGAGATGAGCGAGAATAAGATTTATATCACTGTAAGAAGAAAGTTTCAATGTATGACTTACGTAATGTGAAGCAAATAGACAGAAAAATATATGATACTATATCATTTCCAATTGGAGAACAGTGTAGGGCACGCATCAATACATTAATAATTCATTAATTCTAAGAGGTTCAATAGAACAGGTTGATGAGACAAAAACCTTTTTAAATGGTGTTAAAAATATATCAAGTATCACAGAGTGAAAATAAGTTGATTAGCGTTAGGTTATTGTTAATCTATGACATCTTAATGATGATATTAAGATGTGCATGTTGCAAATCCTTGAATAGTAAAAAATCTTCATTATTCTGAGAGATATTCTTCTGGCTGCTGTGACTCTATAGTTAAGTTAATTATATTGTTTCCCATTTAAGACCAATTAAAATATTGGAATTTATTAGGAAAGATCATTCTGAGATGTACCATCTCGTCGGGGGTTCTCATCATCAAAAATATAATAGAAGAATAATTAGAATAAACAATAACAGACAGCCAAAAATAAAACCAATATAGCAATACTAATTGTGACAAAACAAACAAGACATTGATAATAATAAAAATAAAATAAAAGAAGGTGCATTTCTCAGTGAAAGTGGTTACCCTTGAATATAAATAATTTCTTCGTTCAGTTACAGATTACAGGAACAGAAAACAGAAATTGAGCAATCAGCAATCAATTGATGTTTGGGGGGAAAGTTACCATAAAACGTTATGAAAACACGACATAATACAAACATATAGAGATCGCTTTAAACTTTAATGATGATAAAGATAAAGAATATATTTATTTACATTATTGAACTCACCCTCGTGTGTTCTGAGCCGTTTGTCTCCATCTATCGACATTGACGAGCAGGCTTTTTAAAAACTTTATTAATCAAGAGTAATTTACAAACCTTTAAGGCACTTATTATTGTCAATAACATTGAAAGGTGCAAAAACAGTATAGATCAAATAAAACAAACTGTTTACATCTTACCAAAAAAATTTACTTTGCAAAAATGTTAAGGTCGTTCTTCCATCCAGTGATGTGGGGCTTCACCTAAAGATATTTGCATTTATGTATGAAGTGTTCCAGGTCAAACGTTCAACTAAAAATTCTACATTATTATTTTAATTTAATAATAATGAAAAACGTTTTGTATTTCGAAACGTCCGTCCTCTATTATGATCCGACTAGAAACACGCGTTGTATTCGACTGTTATTGTTGTAGGAAGCTCATTTTCTACGTAGGCTAAATTAGCCTTTTAATACCGTCAAACATAAATACGGTGGATTTTTTTGTTTGCTTTTAAATGTACGGTGGGTCTTGCCTTCGTGTGTCGCAATGTCATGTACAACAGTTCAGGTAAACAGTCGCACTGTAAAAAACTGCTTAAGCTAAGGAAGCTAGCACTTAGCATGGAACCCGGATACACTGATAGGAACTAAAATACGGACATCAAGATTGCTTTGATTATCAAGTTAGATTGGTTTTCTTTGTCTTTTTCTAATCATTTGAATACTCATTTTTTATTCATCCTTTATCTTTTCTCTTACAGGAGATGTTTACAGACCAGAGCAGATCTTGATGTAGGTTTGTGCCTAATAAAAGACTCAGAGAAGACTGCCCATTTTAATATCCTGTCTGCCACAACTCAATACCACAACGGACCCAGTTATATATATCAGTATTAAACAAGTACCATGCATGCAAATACATTAATCTCAAAAAGAGAAGAGATGCTATATTCCAGATTATAGCTGAAAGTGTATTTCCATCTGCAGTCCCTGGGCAGGTGCACACATACCAATTAACAAACACTAAAGACATTTCATAATGCCTATCACATTGACAAATAAAACAGATAACATACAGATGTATACATTTGTCAATATACATATAATTGTACAATTTCATGGTGACTGTGAAATAGTTTAGAGTGCTGTTTTTAAAGATGAATACAATGAGCGGCAGACAGTACTCTACTGCAGCTATAAAGTGTTTTTTATGCCTCTCCTATTTTTACAATTTCCTCTTCAGTCAAAGAAGAATGTGGAGTGGTAATAAACTTGAGAAAATCCTCCAATAGCTGATTGAATCTCATGGTGAAAGATGGACGGAGGAGCTGAGGGCGGACCTCCCTCACAGTTTTCAGAGGCATGGAGAGGAGAACTGCTTCTCTCCACCACTATGGAAGAACATGGGTACTCAAACTCAACCACACTTTTCTTTAGAACTAGGTGTGCAAACAAATTCACAAAAACATTGAACATCCTACCCAATCATGTTATGTGTGCTCCATTGCTATCGTCCTTCAAAAGCTTAACTGAAATACATGACCTTTTTAGCCTCGCCTTTCAATAGTCTTTACAGGTCCTAACTTTATTTAATTGTATTCATGCAGATTTCATTGGTTGTAACTCTTGTCCTTTTTTAAAATTGTATTGGTCAACTGTTGGTTTCAATATTTTTTAGATTTTAGTCTTACTCTTTTAACAGTTTTAATTCACATTAATGATCATAATTATTTGTATTTTATCTTTATATTGTGTGCTTTATATTTACACTATCCACATAGTGTTTTTGATGGCAACTTCCATTGTAGCTCGTGTATTGTGCCAATTGTGCTTCCACATTGAAATAAATGTGCTTTTTGAATAAGACTTTCCTTGCTTATAGCTTTTACTATTTCAGATCAACAGCTATGGAGTTCAGTGGCCAGAGGACTGGGGAATTATTTAGTTAATCGTATACTTTTTTTAAATTCCAGATCCAGTTGAGTCACATTGCTGACAGTGAACCTGGGTCTCATATCAAGCTCTGAGGACAGCTGGCCTGTTGCCTGCTGAAGAGAACAACTGGGGGCCTTTTGCACATTCACAACGTTACCTCAGCGTTACCGAACACAGCAATCAATGATGCTTCTGGGAAGAAATCTGACAGAGAGGCGTGGCATGTCTGGGCTGATGACACAGCAAAACACATCACTTTTCTTTTAAAGGACACCACTGGAGCACAGTGGACAACAAGCATCCAGCACATAGAACATGTGAAGTCCTATGCACCTCATGTTCACCATGTTGTGCTGGACTTGGCGTGCAGACCGTCCTGAGCTGAGGGGATGAACACAGAAACACTACTGTATTCATCTTTACACAAACACTACACTAACTCCAGTCTCTACCCTAAGCCCCTGAACCCTCCCAGATGTAATTGACCTTGTTAGTACTTGAGTTATCTAGGCTGCAAAGCTTTAAATGGTATAAACAGAAATGGGAACAATTTGCTGCAGAATATCATGTTACCATAATGCCACCAAAACATGTAAAATAGGCCTACATTTGTGGATTTTAGACTTTTTATATTACATTTTTTACTTTATTTATGACGAATGCACTGATTTTAATGTATTATTAGCTCTTGATGTACAGAGGGGACAAAAGTTAATTGTGAAAAAAATAATTTACTTTAAACAGAATTACGAAGCAAACAAAAATAATCATTGAAGAATAAACCAGTTTTGCTTGTGCTAATAGTTTCACATGTTTTTATACCACCCTATCTCCTTTTTTATATTGCGTTTCTTTGTACATTTAGGCTTCCAGACTTCCCCTGGTAACCCCATGTATCAATGTCACAAAGATATGAATTGTGAGTTATCTCCTCAGGCAAAGTCTGCAGAAATTTGGATTTACGAGGTCATGCACTTCAAAATGTGGGAAAACTCTGAAGAGTGTGGACATTGGGATTGGGCCGATGTTTATTCCACCTGTAAGGGAGTACAAATCAGCCGCTGCAGTGTTTATATAAACCTTTATTTATCCAGGGCAGGTTCACAGAACATAGATGTTCTTTCTTTCTTTATTTAGAAACACCGTGCTTCACAGCCATGCAAATACAAACCAATCTGGAGGCTGCCAAGCCACCGGCTCCACAGTTATATCTTTTGTGGTGGGTTTAGGGCACTTATGGTTGGTTGAAATGAAATGTTGCAGACATGAACATCTGTGTGCTGGTGATCACAGGAACACCCAGATCTATACAACTCACCCCAAGAAATTAAAAGAGGACATAAATCACATATGAACATACAGTATTAATCAGACGTAAATATACCAGTGGAACCCCTACACTGTATATAAAGGTGGAACCTTAGAGGGCAGCAGCCAATTGAATCAATACTAAATAATTAATTCAATACCACATCACAGTTTCACTTCTGAGCTTAAGACAGGTGAAAAATTAAACGTACAATCGCAAAAAGCTCCATAAAATGTGCTTTCATCAGTGGGCCATTTTCAAAAGAAAATCAACAAACAGCTTATCAAGTGTTTCCATGTGATATTATTGTTGGCCCCACAGTCCCAAAGACAACTGGATCACTTGACATCTTTCTCAGAAGCAGCTACTACAAAGAAATTCTGCAACTGATGCAAACCATAAAGATAAAAATAAGATATATTAAAATAAATTGTAATTAATTCCCAATCCTGCTCAGAGTACAGTCCACAGCGCTTCTTCCAAAAGCACGGGTTCTCTCCTATTTCTGTGCAGGCAGTCCCTCCCTCCAAGCAACTCACATATCCACTGAGCTTTATGCAAATTAATATGTGAATGAGTATGCAAATAAGCACATTATGTGGAGAGGCAACTCTTGGTCGCTTTTATTGGAAAAGAGTTGGCAAAATGTTCCCACAAGATTGCAGCTGAAGGCTGATAGCAAACCTGAGGGTGGGGGGGGGGGGGGCACTGGATGTTTTCATGATGGAAAGGATGTGAATCATATGATATGGCCTTCACAGTCAGCAGGTCTGAACCATTATGAACAGCCATGTGAGATTTTGCACCCAAATAAAGGAATATCTGCTGGATGAATGAATAGTAATCCTTCCAGTAGAAAGCACCAAAGCTACTCTGGCAGCTTTTGGTACCAATATCGTGTTACGAGAGAGTCAATGTAGTTATTATTTTCCTTCACCCATCTGTATGTGGAGGTAGCAGCGGTTGAGAGCACACAATGTCTTTGCTTTACTTGCCAAAAGAGCCATTTACCACAGACACGCCTGGATTTTTTTTGTGAGCAATGGCCGTGTGAGTTTTCTCTTAAGTGTAGCATTAATAATATAAAACAAAGTTAGCAGTAAACTCCAGTCACTTATCTGTGTTCTCAGTTATGCTTCATACCTCAAGTCTATGAATACATGAAGGTACCATGTTGGGCACATTTAAGTAGTTTGGGCTAACTGTAATCAACCTGATAATTATCATTAGCCAATAAGGCCGTACACATTGATATAATTAATAAAACAACACAGAAAAACCTACAAAGAAAATATGTGATTCACACTGGGGACAAGAGACTACTTGAAAATGTTTGTTGATGTATCCTTTTCTCTCAGATTTACTGTTCATGATTACAAACTTGGATCAGTTGTTAATCTCCCACCATATTTGTTGCATGGTATATTTTCCTTATTCATAAAGCTTTGTAAGATAAAAAGCTATTCTTGACTGTTCTTTCCCTTGTTTTTTCCTCGAAAATTGTGTGTTATTATTTTCTTCATATTGCATTTGCATATTCAAAAATAGTTCTGCATACCAAACCAAAAAGAGTTGTAAGACTATGGAGCTATATCAGGGTTATACGTTTTGATCATTCAAAAAAATATTATTTATTTTAAAGTCGAAGTTTTCATCCTGAACTTTGAAAAATACAATGATGTATTCAAAATAAATATAAGTATTTGAAATAATTTTTCATGTTGAATATTATTTTGATTCAGTTCAGCAATTTTTGGGAATAAAATATTTATTTTCATATTTCACTTTTATACATATTTTGATATTTGAATCGTTTTTTTCAGTTGCAGATTTTACGTATTTAGATTCAAAACCATAATTTTTTTCAGTTTCAAATCTTGTTTTTTCAGGTTTCATATTTTTTTCCTGCTGGCTCGTTGCGGATCACGTAATTTCAAATTCCAGCACAGTGTATTGCTCTTATCCCGCAATTGGTACCAACTACGATGCTAAAAGCTCGCTTAACGGAACTTTGACGTTTGTTTACCACCAATCACGTGAGTACTGTGTATAGAAAGTATTAAGTTATTTTTTTCGGGCTACCTAATAATAAATAAATTCTAAATTGCATTTCTTTGAATGATCATGACGTATAACCCTGATATATAGCTCCATATGAGACCAGCTTTAAAAACGTTATCTTTTAGTGTTTATAGGCAGAGTAATAATGTTCCTAACAACGTGGTTCATCTATCATCACTTTGCATACGCCTAGACAACAAATAAAGCCATAGTGTGTATAGAGAGCTGTACAGACACGCCATTTGTAGCGTCTCTTTTTCTCAACAGCAATAAGCTACAGTCCTCACTTTTTGTTGATATTTTGCAGGATGTGTTGCATTTCCCACGGTTTTTTTTCTAACACAATCAACTTTTAGAACCCATGCACTTCCCTGTCAGGTTACTGTTTCGCAGGGTAGAGTGAGCAGAGGAAATTAATGGAGTGTTACATGGGTCACATTTTCCACATCCAGCCCTCCTGTGGTAAACAGAGCTAAGGAAATACACCTGTCACAGTGGAAACTGTGGAGAGGCGCTCCTTCTTGTCTTCTGCAAACTTTCCTTATCTTCCGGTAGTTGAGACTCCAACACAAAGTCAACTGTTTTTTGGAGAGGGGAGGCAGGAGGAAGAAGTGGGAAAAGACGGGATAAAATCGACGAGGAAAGTGAGTACACCAGTTTAAAAACACGCGGAAATGTAATAACTTTAAAGCGTTGTTAGCTTTTTGCTACTTTTAACCGTTTTGTGTTTTCTGACAGGGATATCTGTCGCCCGTAGTGACGCTGCAAGCCGTGTAGTGGTGGTAGGGTCGACATTTAACAACACTGTGAGTTATGTAATACTGTTTTGTATTCTTTCTCAGCCGACTCTTTACCACGTAACATAATTGAATCGTGTGCACCAAAACACCAGTCGGATAACAGCAAACTGATTTTAAAATACCATGAAGTGAAAATGGAGTATCGTTAGCCTTTATTTGATTTTCAGTAACGTACACTTTCAACTGTTGGAGTATAAGCCGTAATATCTTCATATACACACATCTAATCACAGTTTGCTGATAATGCTAAAAACAACAACACCCATTGTCTAGGAATTTTTTTGTCAAATTATTATTTGTTAAAATAGCCTGAATACATTTGACAAGACATGGCAGCATTTTTAAGGGTATGCTAGGTAATTGTAGATTGAGCTAAGTGTTTTTAGACGAATTTAATATCGCCTATTAAGGTTAGTTCATTATTACCATCTCTATGACGCATGCACAATTTCCTTGAGGGTTACTAAACTAGTTCCCTTGAATAAGTTGATATTGCTGCAAGCCTCCTCCAGATGGTATTCAAACAATGAGGAAAAAAGTGTCACATTCTGTGTAGTTTTGGAGTGCAGCTTTTCTATTGTGTACCTACTTAACAGCAGAGGTGGGAAACAACTAACATTTACTCAAGTAGGCTACTGTTCTTCAGTATACTTTTTTAAATACTTACTTTACTTGATCCAATGTTTGCTACTTTGAACTGTTACTCAACAATTCAGAGGTAGGCTACATGCTGTACTTTTACTCCACTACATTTATTTAATGCCTCAAGTTTCTTTTCAGATTTGGATTAATGATGTGAAATATAGATCAACACTTATATAAGACTTTAGTGTAGAGTAAATTCACAAGCTACCCTGAAGTATACAAAGTAATTAAAACTAGCTACACCTTTACTGGCTTTGATAACACTTTAATGCATCAATAATTATAATCAAAAACATATCATATGATTCTGAAATGGACCAATCTGCAAAACTCTGGTACTTCTACTTTTACCTAGGTACAAGATCTGAGTACTTCTTACACCTCTGCTTACAGGTACAGTCACCTCCTCAATTTACGTTTCAAAAGGAACATGACAGACAACCAGCAAGTTTTTGGGATTAGCCTTTTGGGATTGTTTATAAACTACATAACTCCACCCGGCTCTCTGTATCCTTAGAGGGTGGGAACCAGCACACAGAAGCCAAGTTCATGTTGTTTTAGCCTCTCTCGCTCAGAACAAGCCTTAAATCCTCCATCATCCTGGTTTCTATTAGTCATATATCATTTTTGGATCGCTAGATTCAACAAATATTTTGCTCCAAAGTTGTAGACCTTTTCCTCTGTCTGTTAGTTTTGTGATTATCTAGATTCCCGTGGATATCCTTGTTGACTGATAGACATAAGCCTTTCTGAAAACAAGGAGACTACAACTCTAACTCAAAAACGATCCATCGCAAAGTTGCTGGACTGAGGCTTCTCTGTATGGAGGCCAACGGGAAGAGAACAATATCACTTAGTCGATTATTATCCATTTGATAAGTCTGGCTCTTCATCATCGTCAGGCATTAAGTTCCTCTTTTCCCTGTAGAGCTCTGCCTGGGCTGCATCACATAGAAAAATGCATGTTTTGTCAGTGTTAAATCAAACTTTTGTGAAGTGTCCCAGTTGAGTTTATTCCTGATTGTTGGTTCTGCCCTCAGGAGACCTTCTTGATGCGACAGCCCCTGAGTTGAGCCAGTTAACCTGCGCTGAGGGTTCCCGATAACCGCCACGATGCCCGAGGCTGCTGACCTGATCAACCTGAACCTGGCCTTCCTGTCTGACTCTGAGCGGGAGAGGATCCTGGAGGTGCTGCAGCGGGACGAGGATCTGAGGCAGGCCGAGGAGCTCCGTGTGCGGTGAGGAGAGAGCCCTTCCTGTCAATTGTACTCTTGGTTAACTTACCAATGCTGTTTCCGGTTTATTCAAATCAAGGTAATGAACACAGTTTAACTTTAAAGTAACTTACTCTGTAAATCACAGAAAATTAACATGCTTTTTTGGGGGGGATTTAAAAAAAAACGTGTGTTTCCTATACACTTTTTTCTCTTCCGCTTTGTTGGAGTTGGGAGGCCTGTTAATTTATACCGGTGTTGTGTCAAATGATGCACCCTCGTCGTGAAATGCACCCCTTGACACGGGAACGCGCATTTGAACGTATAGTCCGCTATTCTATGTTGTCTTTTTGATGGTTGGGTTGTCGAATCCTGGATTTTGTGTGTGTGGCAGTTGTGCAATCTTACCTTTTAAGCAGGAGAGGAGAGCGCAGATCTATTTTAAGTTACCCCAATCCAAAAGGGTGGGGTGATTTTATTTGAAGAAAATGGTCCACACTTATACAGGGTTTTTACCTTCTCTCGTTACAATGTGACAATCATACCAAATATTTCATGCTGCGGTAAATTACTAATATGAAAACTCAATTCACAGTTTTACATTTCTTATTTTATTTCGTCACTCTCTCTTCAACTGTCCCTCTTCAGTTGTGACATTTCAATTCTAACTTCAACTGCCCTCTTCAGTTGTGACATTTCAATTCTAACTTCAACTGGCCCACTTCAGTTGGTTTTAGTAAAACACAGTCAAAACAAAACCTATTTGAGAGAACTTACCAAGGAGAAACCCCACTGTGGAGCTTTCTCCCTCTCAACCAGTGCTTTTATGCTGCACACGGGGACAAAAAAAAAACAAAGACACCTCCTTCNAAAAGACCAAACAATTAATCCTATGGTTTGTGACTCCAAGTGAGAGTGCCCGATGTTTGGTTCGCAGGGCTTTATCTAGCAGCATGGAAGTACTGTGTATGCATTTTGATCTCGGACAACATAATTCAACTGATTGATTTTGCTTCAGACTTATATTAGTTATATTGAGAACATATTAGTGTTACTTTTACGTATAGTAAATACAAAATAGGGTGGCATGCCCATACTGTATTCACAATCAACAGAACCTTTACCAAATCGGACAATACAAATACCCGCAAAAGTGACAAAATCGTCCTCCCCTCGCTCAGACAGAGGAGGTCGTCCGACACGTGTCCTCCAGGACGAGTTACTTTCAGACCGGGTTTTACACAAATCCGGTATGGTATCCTCTTAACAGACCGTACAGGTCAGGACGTGGGTCTCCGACCTGGAAAAGGGTGTTTATACCCACGCCTCACAGAAAACAAAAACAAAAACAGGGCACACGTCGTATTCTTCGTGACCAACTCTCCCTCGTTCAGGTGCACTACCAATATAGTTGACATCTCTCCAGAGAGAGTGTTATCCAAAACAAAACGACTACAAAATGATTTTTCGGTTTGACTTCCCCCGGTCAACTCACACTTTAACTTTTACTCAGCCCGCCGCACTTGCCCTCCGTCAACTCCAGATCTGTAACCCTTACATGTGTGGACCTCTCTCCGTCAACTTAGAGCTATCTTATACTTTACATGGTGTGACTTCTCCTTCTGTCAATCGTCTGCTTACAGTCAATCTCAAAATCGATTCTACTGCTTGTAGTCTAGTTATGTCTTATCGGATGACCTAAACCTCTATACAGTATTGAAGGTATCACTCCTGGTCAGCGTGAGACTGACACTACTCGCAAACCGAGGAGAGTTGGTCACTGAAACAATACGACGTAGGTTGTCCCCTGTTTTTGTCTTCTCTCTGGTGCCAGCTTTTAGACGACCAAGATTACAGCGTCCGTTAAACACTCCATTTAGTTTCATGTGACACAGGAGAACACACACGTCCCCACCTGGTACAGATCATGAGTCATAGACGAGCACTTAAGTATTAAAAGTCAGATTTTATTTTTAAAGATTCAGATATTTAGTCTTGTTTACTCATATGAAAGTATAATCTAAATTAATCCCAATACCCAGAAATATAATTAGTATCAGTATATTAAATTCAAACATAACCCAGCCCTAGTTGCTGGGAGCTGAAGACAAATGTACCCAACAGGCCATGCAATGGATTACAAAGAGAGAGTCCATGTTATATGTTTTTTAATATACAGATGTTTGCGTTGCAATGTAAACTACCTTTTTTTGTTAATTTAAGTATGGTCAAAGGTGATACAGAAAAACTAACAAAAGTTGTAAATATAGACCCCTCAGGAAGTTTATCATTAACAACTCTTCTTGTTCATTACTTGGGTTTCTGTTTCTCAGGAGCATGAAGACGGAGTTGCTGGAAGTGAAGAGGAAAGGGGCCAAACGTGGCAGTGGAAAATACAGTCAACACAGTTGTGGCAGATGTCAGGATCCTCTGAGTCGACTGACTGTTTTCTCCAGCCAGTGTAAGATCTGCAATCACCATCTCTGCAGAAACTGCCGAATAGCGGTCCCCGATGGATCCTGGGTCTGCAGCGTGTGTGCCAAAGAGACGTGAGAGATTGTTTTGTTTATGCTCTCATTAGATGTTGAGAATACTTTTATATGAGCAAATATTGATTCTGGATCGAAACTATTTGTCTTCATCTTTTATACTGTTAAGATTGAGCTAATCCTGAACTATACACCCTTGGATTACCTGGTGAAGATGTAGAAGTCACACATGAACACTTTAACAAAAAAAGGCTGAGTCATTTCCTAGAATAGCTGGGCCCTGTAGATTTAAGCAACAGTTGTATTATGTTTGTTCAGGACTACTTAATGGTGGATTGGCTATTTTAAAAAGGTTTGTTTATTTGGAAGCAGATACAAAGCAGACCATCATTCACACGGAAGACACTAATATCTAGTTCTTTATGGTTATTTAAAATTGTACAATCGTAGCACAATTTGCTAACTAATAGTTTTATCTTTGAAAACCTATTATTTTGAGCAGCATATTTATCAATGCTGCAAATTATTATTATTTCCATTATCAATAAACCTGCCAATTATGTATTAGTTTAATCGTTTGGTCTATTTCCTTCTATATATATTCTACATCAAAAAAATACTTTTATGATAAGCCTAATTAATAATACAATTATTTTCTTCCAATCGAATAATCATTTCAGCTCTAGTATGTTAAAATTGAAAAATACAGCATGACAGGTATTAACCGTTAACCTTTTTTAAATGTGTTATTTTACTGATGAATGAGTGTGAATTCTCTTAAATTAAGACCTTTTATAAAGTATTTTTATGGCATTGTAGGGATCTAAAGAAAAGGACAGGGGACTGGTTCTACGATCAAAGGGTCAACCGTTTCTCCATGACTCCTGGACACGACCTGGTGAGAGTCTCCCTGAGAAAGAGACCAATGGGTGAGTACAGGAAGAGGAAGTGGTGGCTATCGACTGTTCAAGCAGGAATGTAAACAGCTCTCAGTCTGGGCCAAATGAAATGCCCACAGTCACTGGAATGTTGTTCAACAGCAGGAGGAGAGAAATACAAGTGACATTATGTTTAACTGCTGTGTTTAACATGTGTTCTGTGTTACAGCAAAGAAGCGTGAGACAACAGGAGAAGTGCTGTTGAGAAGCACTGACATAAACCCAGATCTTCCCATTCCTGGACCGCGGGTCAGGCAGAAAAATCAAGTAACAGATAACAATGGGTGTGTCTCTAGTTTTCACATTTATTTACACATTTCAGTTTTCTCAGACACGGATTTAGCATCTCTACCTTTTGTCATATTTACTTTTACAGTTATGCAAATGAGAATACAGGATCAATTGCTTCAAGAGAGTCATTTGAATCAAAGGAGGATGTTTGGCCAAAGCCAACTCGCAGTGACACGGAGTCTGCAGAGAACAACAGTATGAGCAGCCATAAAACAGACACTGAATCTGGCCATGTGACCCCGGAGCAACAAAGGTAAACCCCCTGTAGTTACTTTAAAAAGTACAACCACTACAAGGTAACTTCAAAGCAACGTTAGAGTGATTGAAGTGTTTGGCCCTCCTCCCCCAGAGCTGGTAATTGTACTGGGGAAGTCTACCTTGTGTCAGATCATTGTTTAATACAAAATGCATTGTTGTTTGTTTCACCCTTTTGTTAGATACTTTTAAACAATTTTATATATATATAAAATTAGAGTGCCTTTGGATAATGTGGCTTGCAGTTCTACATTTAATAGTTTAAAATAAAAAAACTAGTTTTATAGTGGACACCTTAAAATAAAAATAATCAGCAACTGCAGTAAAACGATTGCTGTATATCAGTGTTGATTTTGTTAATCGAAACTATGACGATATGTTTGTTGACGTCCTTTTCCCTATTTTTTTATCTCAGAATAACACTGCACCTTCTTCACTAAACTATTTCTGTGACTTTATCAACATGCTA